GCTTGGACTTGGACGCTTTGACTTGGACGCCTTGGCTTCGTTCCTATAAATACAGCGCGATTCTCCCCATACACAACATCACTTCATCCCCTCTCTCGGGATTTGAGCTTAATATTCCATTTCTAAATATTAGTTTAGCATTTTAGTAGTTTTAGAATAAATTCTAGAGAAATTCTACTCCCGGTCTATTCTGTTCCGCCTTTACGGAAGTTGTAAGTTTACTCTATTTAATAAAATGCTGTTTTAATTCATGTTTGCATAGTATGAGTTAGGGTCCGGATCTCTGGGTCCGGACTAATTTGGTTGTTTATTTTTGATGTTAAATTAATGTTGGAATGGTTAATCTGTTGTTCTTGCCTTACCTGGTTAATTACTCTCGAAAGATTTAATTGGCCATTTATTGAGAAAATATTGTATGCCAAAAGGCTATGATATTCAATTGTCAACGGATTAAGTACAAATCTAGAAATGGATGAGTAGTAATAGAAATATTATTATTCCAATTGCTAATTTAATATGATAAAATAATTTCAAATGACGTCCAGACCTTGGGTCCAGATCTATACTTATACTATATAAACTTAATTTATTTATTATTTTTACTCTGCCTTTTTTGTCGTTCCGAGAAGACTTTCATAAACCAATCCTAATCTTCGCCTAATTAGAGTAATTAAACTAATTCCCTTCGTCCACTCCTCGAGAGATACGACACTCGGAGAGAAAACTAACCCTTTATTGGGAAGGTTTACTACCCGAAAAACTACAACTGTCAAATGGCGCCGTTGCCGGGGAGTGGCACGGCATTAGTTTAATTTCTTCTGATTAGCTTGGGTGAAGATTGGTTAGAACGATCTTCTCACTTCCTTTCACCAACCACCCGTAATAATTATTATGGATAACCCTAGTGGTTATTACGATCCGCCTTCTTTCTACCAATCACCTAACCGCCCTCCGTTTCAAACCCATCCACCTTACCACCCGCATCAGAACCCATACGATGATGACTACCAAGTCGACTACTATCCCTACCATAAGGAACCACCATATGATACCCCATCTGAAAACTTTGGATATTCTCCGTACCAAGACTCTGATGGGGAAGATCATTATGAACCTCATGGTGATCACGATGACTATGACCGCAATGGGCCTATATACGACGATCAAGCTGATCCGCTTGTCGAAGAAATAATAAGATTAGAACAGAAAATCTTCTATTTCGACGAAGTTTTATTCGCTGAAGGCTCCTGGTATGAACCACCCTACTCCCGTGACTATACCCTGTTTGCCAAAGAACAAATTGAAGCAAACAAGGTGGCAATTCGAGAAAGAGCAAAACTTCTTGAATCAGTCCGGAAGGAAAAGGAGTTTGAAAGGAGATTATGCAAAGGATCAGATATGATGCAGAAAATGCTGGATGACTTCCAAAGAGAGAGACTAGAAGCCGAGGCTAAAGCTGATAAATTAGTCAATGATCTCTGTAAGGCTGTTGAACTTAAACGCTCCTTCCAATCTCAAGATCCACAATTGGAGGAAGTTAATGCTCAAAACGAGGCTCTAGAACCCAAGACCAACCCTGAACCATCCAACCATCAGGTGCCAGTTCTAGAGGATTTACCCGGTTTTACACCATCACAGAAACCCGAGAGCATAACAACTCTCGCTAGGGCTACTGTGGTGATGTTACCTAAATCCCTTCCTAGCCAAGTCACAACCAGCATAGTCGTACATGAGGTGGAACCAACTGAGATACCTGACTCAAAACCACCTACGCTCATTCAAGAAAAGGAGGAGGAAGTGTTGCCTACAGCAATAAGCGACCATCTCCTTAATTGTGTTCAAGACACACCTCCAGAGGAACCTGTTCTGGAGAAAGTAGAACCCATTACCTGCCCCCAAGATTCAATTAAGTCCGAGCAGGAATCTACAGACAAGGAAGTACGTTGCTCTGATGAACTAAATTCGTTTATAGAAACATGCACAACTAATAATTCATCTGAAGCCTCAGACCATACTTTCTTTGATTCCCTACTGGACGAGTATGACTATGTCTGCTTGAAGGATGGTTGGAACTTAAAGAGTTGGGACGAACTTCTAATGAGTGACGACGAGGACTCTTCCTTGGGGGAGGGTACGATCATAATCATCAAACCACAAATGGATAGTCAGCCAATTGAAGATAAGGAAGAAATCAATTTCGTAATCAAGGCTAACGATGTGGATCTATTGAGGAGACTTCCGCCCCCACCCACCTATACAGAGTCTCCTCCTTATACCCTGTTGCCACCAAGCCGCAGGGATGAGTCAAGGATCCTGGGCCTTGACCGAGCAAAAGTTCCAACAGGGTGGCATCAGAAGAGAGTCAAAAGGGCCAAACTTTATTACTCTCGAATCGGAAAGTCGCGGAAAAAGTGGGTCAGCGTCAAGCTACGGATGCTAAAGAAGCTCTTAAACGGGAGTCAACCCGTCATTCAGATAATTAAATTATTTAAAATGCTTATTTATATTTTACTTGCCGCACCAGTAGGGGGCAAGATTTTACTCGTTATACTTTTTTACAGATGGATGTTGCTTGGACGATTCCGCATGGAAACCGCCGCACATTGCACTCAGAGGAAGCAAGGAAGAAGTTTCTCACTTGGGGAAACACGAAGATGCTCCAGCCTCCCATGGTGTTAGACCCTGCTGTTCCTGCAAGCGCCAGCAAGCCTGGAAGTCACCATTGAGTTTCTTTGCTCTCTCCGCTTCCACAATGACGGAGAGGAAGTAAAGTCAACAGCTGAAGTCACCTCCACCACCAAGGTCACATTCACTCGAATGGGTCGACTGCTGAGCCTTACTGTGGCAGACTTAGGGTGGCTGATTGGTCTTCACACACTTGACGAGACGCGGAGCTTGGCCTTTGCGAATCTACCCGACCAGTTGGATCCGGAGTTCGATGTGAGGAAGTTCTGGCAAGCTCACGGGTATGGACGATATCACAGTGGAGCAAGCATAGCCAGGAATTGGGTGCGTCCGTCTTGGAGGATTTTACACCATGCATTGACTCACAGCTATTTGGGCCGTTCTCGTGACTCCGATGTAGTGTTTGATTCTGATATGCTATTTTTCTGGAGTCTGGAAGCGCGCGTACTAGTCAATTTAGCAACTTTTGTGGCCCGATTCCTATTTGCTCAGTCGACTAGCAACCACCAGTTTGTCTTGTGTGGGCCAATGGTTACGCTTCTGGCCCGAGGATTATGTATGACAGTCCCTAATGTTCTCCCAGAGGCTGCAAGCATATTCCGACCATCGACGAGGTATTTAATCCAGATCGCTTATAATAAGAAGGACAAGGAGGCACGCCCCAAAAAGCAGCATAGAATTCCCATGACCCTCCGCGAGCTTTCACAGGCTATGTTTGCATTCCAGGATTCTGTAGACTCTCGCTTAAGGAGCATGGAGACACTCCTCCTCACGCAACAATGGCAGGTGGAGGAAATACTTGAATACACCCGGGAACAAGGAACAGAGAAGGCTGAGCATGGGGCAAGTCCGAAACAAGGAAAACGTCAGGGATAGTGAGATCCCTAATTTCTTAATACTGCATTCAGAACATCATTTTTGGATATTTATATGATCTTATTTTGGAATTTCACATTATGACTCTTAAACCCATTTTGAGAAGTTTTATGCATTATTTCATATTTACATGTTATGGTCATTTATTATTTCAGTCTTCATCTTTGAATTTTATAAGTATTGAGATAACTTAGTAATTGCATGTGAGCATTTCATTTCAACCATTAACTCCAAT